TGTCTGTAGCACTTGGAGGTTTGCAAAGCACTTAACAAAAATGACTGCTTTTTATCCTCAGCCCTGCAGGTGGGCACTGCTTCTAATCCAGTTTTACCAATGAACACATTGAGGCAGGCAGAGGTTAAGGGGCTTGCCCCAGGTCACACAGCTAGTGAGTGTCTGAGGCTGGGTTAGAACTCAGGTCTTCCTGCCTCCAAGTCCAGTGCTCTATTTACCCACCCAGCACCTCCCTCATTAGGAGGGTTGTTAGGAGGACAAAGTAACATAATAATTATAAAATCCATAGCGAAGTGTCTAGCACATAGCAGGTGCTACAGGAAAGGGAGAGATTCTTATTATGACTACGTGGCAGCATCATGGTGAGCACTCGGGGTGAAAAGAAAATGGTCACTGCCCTCAGGGAGCTCACCTTGGGATGGGAGAAAGAACCTGCAAAGAGCTACAGATAAGATAGAGGAAAGGCCAATGGAGGCACCTTGAGCAAAGCCAGCAGCAGGTGAGAGGCGGGGAGAAACAGGGCTGGCCTCCTCCAGAAGGAGGAATTGAGCTGAGTCTGGAATGAAGCCAAGGCAGCAAAGAGGCAGAGATGAGGAGGGACAGCATTCCAGGCAGGAGGTACAGCCAGTGCAAAGATGCAGAGGTAGGGGAGATGGAGAGCAGTGTCATGTGTGAGAAGAGTAAGGCCAGTGTGACTGGACATAGTATATATGAATGAAAGTGACAGAATAAGTCTGGGCTGGGAGGTTGGGGCTATGTTTGGAGGATGTAAAATGATGTCAGCATTTGTATTTAATCCTAGAAGTACCAAGGAGCTACTGAAGTTTCTTGGACAGGGAGTGACATAGTCAGAACTATCCTTCAGGAAAAGCACTTTGGCAGCTGAGTAGAAGAGGATGGGAAGGGGAGAGACTTGACATGAGAACAGTGAGAGACTATGGCGGTTATTTCAGGGAAGAGATGATGAGGGTAGAACGAGGGTGGGGGCTCCCTGAGTGGAGGGAGAAGTAGGAAGTGAGAGATGTTGGGGAGGCAGAAACTTCCAGAACTGAGAAGAGCCTGCCTATGTGGGAGGAGACAGAAAGTAGGTGAGGAGGACACCAAGGCTGTGACCCTCAGTGGATGAGAAGAACAGTGGTGTCCTCAACAGAAGGAGGGACATTTGGAAGAAGAGTGGGTTTGGAAGGAAAAAGTATGAGTTTTTTAGATGATACAAGTGAGATTCCCAGTATCCAAAAGATCTATATGACTATGAATATCAAATAATGAGGAGTCTCTAATCCTAGGAAGAATGATTTGGAGAATAACACAGCTACTATTTCTTTTTTTTTTAAGGCAATTGGGGTTAAGTGACTTGCCCAGGGTCACACAGCTAGTGAGTGCCAAGTGCTTGGTTGGAGGCCAGATCTGAACTCAGATTCTCCTGACTTCAGGGCCAGTGCTCTATCCACTGTGCCACCTAGCTTCCCCTGCTATTTCTAATAGATCCTTAGGTTTATGAGGATGACAATGATGACTACTACTACCAGGGGTAGTAGAGGCAGCAGAGGTGGTCCAGTGAATAGTGAACTCAGCCTGGAGTCAGGACAGACCTAAGTTCTGACACAGCCTCAGATACTTACTTGCTTTGTGACCCTGGGCACGTCATTTAACCTCTGTCTGACTCAGTTTCCTCAACTGTAAAAAGAGGAAAACAATAGACCTATCTCCGAGGGTGGTTGTTAGGCTCAAATGAAATAATATTAATAAAGTCCTTAGTGCAGTATCTGGAATGTAATAGTCACTAAAGCAATAATTATTTCCTTCCTACTATTAATGTGATATAGATATAATGTGTCATCATGTCCATTTTATACGTAGACAGATTGTTGCTCAGACAGGTTTGGTGCTGTAGGAGTAATGGTGTTTGGGAAAAGAGCACAAAAAGAAGCAAATCCCATTGATGCCAGGCTCCTCCACCTCCCCAGACCTTGGTTCAGATCTCCTCACATCACCATCACCATCACCATTCACATCTCTAGCTCAGAGGGACATAAGCTGGTATGCCAATCGACAGGATGGTACCTGGAGCCTCAGGTGTGATGGAGATGTTCTGTGGTGCTGGTGCTATAAACATATCTAAAAGCAACAAAGAGGAGGCATAATGGTGGACTAAATGCAGGGCCTCCCCTGAACGCTTCCAAATTTCCCTCCAAGAGCTTTAAAATAACACCTCAAAATGAATTCTGGAGTGGCAGAACCAGCCAAAGGATGTGGTGAAATAATTTTATGGCCCAAGACGACTGAGAAGGTTAGGTAGGAAGTTCTATCTCACTGGGACATTTCTATATACTATTAACAAAGCCCAGTGTCAAGAGATAGAGACATTCCACCGAAAATCACTATAGACATTATAAAATATTTGGGAGTCTACCTGACAAGAGAAACTCGGAAACTATATGAACACAATTATAAAATACTTTTCACACCAATAAATCCAGGCCTAAAAATTTGGGAAAATATCAATTGGTCATGGGTAGGCTGAGCCAATATAATAAAAATGACAGTTCCACCCAAATTAATTTACTTAGTACCATTCTAATCAAACTACCAGAATCTTATTTTATAAAGCTAGAATAAATAACAACAAAATATCAAAGGAATTAATGAAAGAAAAATGCAGAGGAAGGTGGCCTAGCCACACCAGATCTAAATTTATTATGAGGTGGCAACCATTAAAAGTATTTGGTACTGGCTAAGAAATAGATTGGTATATCAATGGAATAGATTAGGTACACAAGACACAGTGGTCAATGACTACAGTAATCTACTGTTGATAATACCAAAGACTCCAGCTTCTGGAATAAGAACTCACTATCTGACAAAAACTGCTGGGAACACGAAAATAGTATGGCAGAAACTAGGCATAGATCAACATCTTATACTGTATACTAAAATGTAGTCAAATAAGTACATAATTTAGACATAAAAGGTGATACCATAAGCAAATTAGGAGAGCAAGGAATAGTTTACCTGTTGGATCTATGGAGAAGGGAAGAATTTATGACCGAACAAGAGATAGAGAATATTATGAAATGCAAAATGGATAATTTTGATTACATTAAATTAAAGTTTTTGCACAAAGACAATGCAACCAAGATTAGAAGGGAATCAGAAAACTGGGATACAATTTTTATAGCCAGTGTCTCTGATAAAGGCCTCATTTCTAAAATACAAAGAGAACTGAGTCAAATTTATAAGAATACAAGTCATTCCCCAATTGATAAATGGTCAAAGGATATGAATTGGGAATTTTCAGATGAATAAATTGAAGCCATCTATAGTCATATAAAAAATGCTCTAAATCACTATTGATTAGACAAAAGCAAATTAAAACAACTCTGAGGTACCACCTCACACATATCAGGTTGGATAATATGGCAAAACAGGAAAATGATCAATGTTGGAGAAGATGTGAGAAAATTAGAACACTATGCACTATTGGTGGAGTTATAAACTCATCCAACCATTCAGGACAGCAATTTGGAACTATGCCTAAAGGGTAACCAAACTATGTATATACCCTTTGATCCAGCAATATCACTACCATGTCTGTATCCTAAAGAGACCATAAAAAAATGGAAAAGGACCTACATGGGCAAAAACAATTATAGAGTCCTTTTTGTGGTGGCAAAGAATTGGAAATTGAAGGGATATCCATCAATTGGAGAATGGCTGAACAAGTTGTGGTATATGAATGAAATGGAATACTATTGTTCAATGTGAAATGATGAGCGGTGGATTTCAGAAAAACCTGCAAAAATTTACATGAACTGATGCTGAGTGAAGTGAGCAGAACCAGGAGAACGTTGCACACAGTACCAGCAACATTGAGTGGTGACCAACTTTGATAGACTTAGTTCTCCTCAGAAATACAGTGATCTAAGATAATTCCAAGACTCATGATGGAAAATGCTATCTACATGAAGAGAAAGAACTATGGAGTCTGATTGCAGATCGAGGCATACAACTAGAGGAAAAGAAGACTGGGGGCCAGGGAAGGGAGCAGTGTTTTCAGGAGTTTCAGGAGTCAAACTAGGGCATTCCAATGATGCACATTCCCTAGGGGCAATAGTTAGTATTGATTCAGTCACAGTGCTCAGGGCAAGATGTGGAAAGGTAAGGAGAGTGTTTGAAGCTGGGGTAGATGATGGACACACAGAACCAGGATGAAAATAACCAAGAGGATTCTGAAAGGGGCGGGGGAGAACTTCCTTGCAGTCACACAGGAAGGTGATAGCAGAGCAAGATCCAGAACCTAAGTCCCAGCTCTCATAGACTCTCTGCTCATTACAGTCTGGTAGTGTCCCATTAATGTCTAGATATTTCTGGCAGGGACTTGCAAATTAAGCCATCTTCTGTCATAACACCTTAGCAAGAATGAATGGGTCAGACCCTCGCAAATGCTAGCCAGGGGAGATCCAGATGAGGACACCAGACAGACCTATCCATCTATCCAGGTGACCAGACTCCACACCTCCCCAGGGAAATGAACTACTCCTTCACATAGAGCCCTCACCTGGCTCTGTGGCCCACCCTCCTTCTAGCTCAGCTGCACAGCCAATAATCACATAAGGGCCAAGCAAACGCCAGCCCAGAAACCTGGGCTCCCTCTGCACTTGTAAGTTACTCATGGGCAGTGACAGAGCAGAGGCTAGTACAGGGCCTCCTAAGAGGCCACGGCTGACATTTGTTGCCTTCCTGTCCCCACCCACCCCCAACCCTCCAGCATCCAAAAAGCTTTCCTGGTTTTCTGACCAGAGGCAGAAATCAGGAGAGAGAATGTCTTGTCTCCAAGGGGATCACAGGAAGGAAAGTGATTTGCCAGAAGTGGGCCCACAGCAGAGCAGCAGCTGATCCAGAAGTCAGACCTTCATCTGCTGGGGCCCCCAACCACACAAACAAATACTCTTAATGCTGGGCCTACATTGTCCTCTGATTTTCTTCTCCTCTGTCCCTAGAACGCCAGAAAAAAGCATTCTCAGTGATTGGCCCTGCTCAGCTCATTCAAGTCAAGCAGGAGGAAAACGTCACACTTTCCTGTCAACTCTCCCCTAAGATGGATGCTCGGGCCATGACTGTGAACTGGTTCCGAAACCAGACCCTTGTACACAGGTACCCCGCTGGGGAGAAGCTGGAGGAATCCCAGGGTGCTGAGTTCCAGGGGAGGATGGAGCTGCTGAAACGTGACATGGCTGAGGGGAAGGTGACCTTGAAGATCCAGCATGTCCAGGTCTCTGACTCTGGTCAATACACTTGCCACTTCCGTTCTCCTGACTATTACAATGAAGCCCACTTTGAACTGCAGGTAGCAGGTAGGTCCTGTGTGGTTTATGAGTTTCTTCTGAATCACAGACCATTAGAGCTAGAAGTGAATTTAAAGAGCATCAAGTCAAAGCCCCCTCATGTAACAATGAGGAAAATGGGACCCAGAGAGGGGAGAGGCTTTGCACAAGGTCATACAATTTGGAAATGTCTGGGCTGGGAATCAGACCTGGCTCTTTTCACTCCAAATACGGACATTTTCTCTTCTCTTTGACACATGTGTAAAATCACAGGCTTTGAGAAAGGAGCAAACTCCCTTTGAGAAGTGAATCCTAACTCATGGATTTAATTCTCTTCCCATCTTTGGATTCTTCAGGCCTGATATTTCCTACTAAAAATGATGGAGGCCTCCCCTCTGTCTTGGAGCTCAAAAATGAGGATGATTTTATTCTCTCTTTCAAAGATGTCAGGCTTCACCCGGCCCTCAAAAGCCCTACATTCAGTGGTGTACAAAGGGTCTGAGGCCTTCTTCACTCTCATCTGCATGGCTTCCCTCCACATTGGCCTAGTGACAAATGTTTCTTAAGTACCTACCTTCTCTGTGCCCAACCCCGTCCTAGGTGAGGCTGTGGGGAAGAGAAGGGAGGAAGGCCTGGCCTCATGCCTTGATGGAGCTGGAGAGGTATGATACTTAACCTGATTAAAAAAAATTAGTGTATGGCAGACTGAAAGGACATGTGGGAGAGTGGATGGAGTACTGGACTTGGAGGCAGGAAGAAATGGGTCCAGATGCTGCCTCTGACTCATTCTCTGTGTGACTATGGGCAAAGATGGGAAAAGATACTGACATATACAATTTTGTCGTTGAAGAATGTTATCTGTACAAGGGACCTCAGAGGTTATCCAGCCCCCTCCCCCCCACACACACACACCACTTACAAAGGAAGAGACTGAAGTCCAAGACCTGTCAAAGGTCAGTTAGCCACCAAGTGACAGTCACAATTTTCAACCAAATCTTCTGATTTTCCAAGGCTGGGGCTATTTCTCCTCTCTTATATCACACTGCAGCCCCCAAACCCATCCTTTCATAGATGATCAAACCAAGGTTCAGAGAGGAAAATGGACCAGTGTGACCATTTAGTGGAGGGCTGACCCCAGGGCTGCTGGAGTCCAGGCTGCTCAGCTGAGAGCCAGAGAGAGCTTCTCAATGGCGATGTAAGAACCAAACCCAGAATGGACTTCAGAAGAGAGTAACATCCTCCGGAATCAGGAGACGTGGGGCCTAGGCCTGTGTCTGTCATGACCTCCATGTAATCCCTTAGACAAGCCTCTTCCCCTCTCTGCTCTCTGGCCCTCTCTCTAATGATGGGGTTGACTAGATGTGACCTAAGTGCCCATCATCCCCTGAAAGTCTCTGATTCTATAAGGACACAGCTGTGAGGTGGTGGGAAGAGGCCTGAATTTGGAGTTAGAGGACCCAGGCTTCAGACCTGGCTCTGTGACTTAGAAGCTGAAGGATAGAAGGCCTCTCATAACCATTTTCCTCCAGGTAGCTGGGCTAGATTCTCTCCAAGCTCTCTTCCAGTTCTGACACTCTCTTGTCTGAACTCCTGGGGAGGCTGGGTTTTGGGGGGATGTTTGTAAGATGGCATCATCAGGGCACAAAGCCACCATCCTTGCCCAGGATTTCCTGAATCCTGATGCCTTCTATGGTCCCAGCTGGGTACAGGATCAGGGACCAAGGTTTCCCTTCTCTGATTTCCATAATAATCGAGTTTGGGGGCACCTTTTCAGAGAATCTCCCCACATCTCAGAAGACACTTCATAAAAGGATTTTTCTTTTATTCCCGGTGGTCTTCATTGGTTCCATCTTTGTGGTTTCTTTCTTCTGCCAAACAAAACTCCAAAGAACCAGAGGTAAGAGAAGGCCCTTCCCTTAGGCCTTTACTCCTTCCATCACCCACCAGAGCCTCTGATTGTTGCTGTGAGAGGGATCTGAGGATCCCTGATCTGCTGGACTAGAATCCCTCCCTTGGCTCTGAACAAATGGTCTGGCCCTGGCTGAGGGATCTGGCCTTTGGTGGGATGACAAAGAAACTCCTGAGTGGTCCCTGTGAAAGATGATTATCCACTGGGGGTCAGGAGGAGGGTCTCTTGGGCAGAAACCTCTTAGCCATGTTCTCACCTCAGCCTAATCCTCAACACACCCCAATCCTAGACCTGGTTTCTGGGTTACTTTCTAGGTCCAGGTGGAGGGATGGGGATTGCTGGGGCTGCCCTTGGCCAGGCAGCCTGTTTCCAGAGCTGGTCCCTTCAATCCCTAAATGTGGACCTGGAATCAGGTACCACCAGCCCCAGTCCACCCCTGGATGTCCTAGTCTGCTCTTCCTTATTCTCAGCCACCATGACCCCATACCCAGTCCCTTCCCCAAGCCTACCCACCCACAGTCTCACTCAAGGAATTTAGTCATTTGGAGTTGAATAAATTATTTTACTGAATGATTTCCAGGTGTGGGTTGGACTTTCCCTCATCTGAGTCTCACTGGAAAGAGAAATGATTATTTCTTTCTCATATTAATAACATTATTAACTGAGATTAAGATTTTTTCTCTATTTCCTCATTCAGAAACAAACTCCTGTAGTTTATGCAGCCAGTCTTTGAATGACATTACTGACCTTGCCCCAAAATTTACACCACCTAAACCATCTTATCTAGGTGGAATTGCTCCCTCACCCAACTAGAAAATCCTTACAAAGAGAATGTGATTTAGGTGAATTCCATCCCCTTATGTTCTACTCAGACAAGTACTGGGGGAAGGAGTAAGATCTTTTTGTTATATGTTGCTCAGGAGTGTTCTGGCTCTAAATAAGTCTCTCTTTGTCCATGAGTGAGGGAATCAAAGTCATGTCCCCCAGCCCCTCATTAGAATAGGTCCACTTCTCATTATAATATTCATTCTTTCATTAATTGTTAACCACTGGTATATAAAGGTCAAGAGGCCTCCAGGAGGGGTCTTTGGTTTAACAGAGAAAGCCACTCAACCATCCTTTTATTCACTGTTCACTAACCATAATTAATAAAATGGTTAGTTACTCAGGAACTAAGTCTCTCCAACTTTTCATGCATCACACCTGTGTGTTCACGGAAGCAGCCTGGTGCCCACTCCTCACCCCAGCCTCCTGGCAGCCCTGCTCCCATCTCTGCCTCTCTGCCTCCAGCTCCTCTGTCCTGAAGGAGGCAACCTCCTGCCCTGGTAAACTGAGGCCTTGAGACTGAGGGGGCATAGCTGGGGCTTCCCCTAAGAGCCATACCCTGAAGGAAGTTGTAACGTACTAGCAACCCAGGTCCTCCTGATTTGTCACCTGTTGCCGGATCTTCTGTCCCTTCACTTGTCAGGCATTCTACCCCATCCTCTGCCAGCAAGATTTTTGTTTGCCCACTTTAATTGGTCTTTTCAATTCTTATTTGTTTTAGAAAACAGCTTATTTCTATTTTAACTGTTTCCTTAACATTTTATTAGTTTACCTCACTTATTTTTATCTTCTCTCTAGTTTGGTTATTATGGAACCTTTTCCAATTTTGTTTTCTTACAAACTATCTGGGTGACCCTGGGTTAGTCACTTACCTCTCCTTGCTCCCTGAGACTAGAGGAAGCAGAGGAGGCACAGACCAGCATTGCTCTTGGAAATTCCTCCTCCAGAATTCCCTAGACCAATGAAATCCCAACCAATTCCCTTATCCTTTAAAAAATCTGTTATATTTAATTTTAAAATGTTCCATTTTTTCAAATATTTATCTTAAATCCATATTATTTTAAATGGCTTTTATTTCTTGCTTTTTTAATTTAAAAAGTTATTACATTTATTTTATCAAGATATTGTTAACCTTTATAAAACAACTGATTTTTGTTTCATTAACAGCAGAGGTATTTCAAAATGACCAATTCCAGAAGGAGGGACAGAGAAGCAGCAGGGACGAGCAGGGACTCCCCTGCCTCCACTGAGGACCTCCTGCTTCCCCAAGGGCTGCCAGACAGACAATCTATCTCTCCTTTAGTGATACACTAAGGGGAAGGTAGGGCAGCATAACCACAGAGCAGCACATATAAAAACCCCTTCTTTTTTTTTGTTTGTTTGGGTTTTTTTGGTTTTTTTAGGCAATGGGGTTAAGTGACTTGCCCAGGGTCACACAGCTAGTAAGTGTCAAGTGTTTGGTCTGAAGCCAGATTTGAATTCAGGTCTTCCTGAATCCAGGGCCAGTGCTCTGTCCACTGCGCCACCTGGCTGCCCCCTAAAAACCCCTTCTTTTGTGCCCCCTTTTGCTCCCTGGGGCTTTCAGCAATGGTGAAATGGTAGTCCTTCTCTCTCTCCCCACCTCCCAAACCCATCACCAAAGACAGTGGGTTACATCTCATAGATGCCTAGGGAAGCCAGGGCGAGCCTGAAATCTCAGGCCACTCCTGCCTTTCCATTTCCTCCTTGAGCACATCGTTGACTGACCCTCTGCAGAAGTGAGCATTTTACTCCCCTGGTGGCATCATGGAGGGTAGAGATTTCAGAATTTTGGATTCGGTTGAGGGTTGCCAAAGCGAGATTTCTACAGAAGCACCCGGCTCCCAAGTAGGGTGGCCACCTCTGAAGGACTCCAGAGGGCCATGCCAGGCTGGCCAGGAGACCTGGACCCATCCACAAAGCCTCTCAATGCAGACCCCAAGTTCATCTGAAATACCTGTTCGGAGATTCCACATTGGGTCTTTGCCTTTCAAAGTCGGTCAGTAAGATTCACTAAGTGCCTAGGCTGTGCTAGGCACTGTGCTAAGCCCTGGGAATACAAAGACTAAAGACACTTCCTGCTTTCAAGGAGCTTACCATCTGATGAGAGAAACGACAATCAAACAGCCATGAACACACAGAGTACAGGCGGGATAATCTGGAGAGAGCTCCCAGAGGAATCACTGATGACTGGAGGAGAGAATGAGGCTGAGGACTTTGTGCAGCTCTGCCTCACTTAGATCCAGTTCAGGAGTAAGTCAGGACAATACCACCAAAGGGTTCTGCCTGGGGCCTCTACCAGAGGGAAGGCCTTCTAGAGCAGGTGTTGTTGGGTAAGCCTTTGTAACATTTGTTTCTTACACAAGAGCCTCATCACTATTATGATGTAAGTGTAAGCTTCCTTCTCCCATGAATGCTGTGTGTATTTGTGGGAAGAAGTAAACCAAGTTTTTGGAGAATGTTTTGTATTAATTGTCTTTGCAATGTTATCTGTGATTACTAGTGGAGATGCTGCCAATTTGAGTTGGGAAATGCAGCAATTTCTCCTCCTTCTTCTCCTCTTCTCCTGCTCTTCCTAATACCTCTGTGCTTGGGGTGTCACACTATTGCAGTCTAGTGATGCTGAGAACCCCAAAATTCAAGGGCAAAAGGAGTGGGTTCTACCTTGAAAGAATTTGACTCAAGCCTTCCTTCCGTCAGAGACAAGGGCAAGATCTTAAGAATCCATGCATTTGTGTGGAGAATACAAGGGATTCAGACTCTTAAGGAATCTGAGCATGGGGGCAAGATGGACACTAACAGAAAGACTGTGGGAAAATCTGGATGTGATCAAGGAGTGGACAATAGCTTGGGGTGACTAGGAGGTAACAGAGGAGTCTAGATGGAATTAAGGAGTGGTGAAACAGCCTGGGGTAGGGCCAAGGGCAGACAATGAGGTCCAAGATGAAAGGGCAGTTAAAAGGATATTCTGGGATTGGCCAGGTGCCTCAGGTGAATGCCAGGGCCTGGGCCATGTTGGAAAGTCCAGGACCTTTTAGGGGTCTATCATTAGTATTCTCTTTATCATCAATACTCTCTTTATAAGAAGATAATTTTTGGTTGCTTACATTTGTAAGATTTTGGGGGGATTTAGGGACTAGATTTTTTTAATCATTTATTATTTTTTAGAAGCTGGGATTTTTTTTGTCCTGTGTAGTTTTCATTTATGATTTCTTGAAATATAGCTCTGAAAAAATAGGGTTCTAAAAAGTCCATTGTGATTCAAATGAAGCTGCTTGACTAGCCTTTAAACCCATATTACTCTGGCTTTCATTTTATGGCCAGTAACAGCACCCAGGCTTGGGCTGTTGCTCATTATTTAGTTTTCATGGCTTAGAAATACTCTATGTAGCAATTGTTTTTTGTTATGGTCAGAAGCTTTCTCTTCCCTCTTTGGTCTCAATCCCTATCTAGCCTTTAGTCATTGAATGGGCATTGCCTCAGACAAACTGAGAGATGGGAAAGTGGCTTAGTAGATAGGGCAGCAGCCCTGGAATCAGGAGGACTTGAGTTCAAGTCCCACCTCAGAAACTTGACACTTACTAGCTATGTGACTCTGGGGAAGTCACTTAGCCACATTGCTTAGCAAAAAAAAAAAAAAAAGATCCACTTCCCAAAGGGAGTATGTCCCTTTTTCAAGACCCAAGGAATGTGTCAAGGAAAAGAAAATGGCCAGATCCGGAGTGAGAAGAGCTGGGTCTCATTCCTAGCCCAGACATTTCCAAATTGTATGATCTTGTGCAAAGCCCCTCTCTTCTCTGGGTCCCACTTTCCTCATTTGTTAAATGAGGGCATTTTGACTCTTTAAAGTTACTTCCCACTCTAACAGTCTGTGATTCAGAAGAAGTCCATAAACCACACAGGACCTACCTGCTACCTTCAGTTCAAAGTGGGCTTCATCACAATTGTCAGGTAACTGAACACAGCAAGTGTATGGACCAGAGTCAGAGACCTGGACCTGCTGGATCCTCAAGGTCTCCTTCCCCCCTCAGCCATGTCATGTTTCAGCAGCTCCATCCTCCCCTGGAGCTCAGTGCCCTGGGATTCCTCCAGCTTCTCCCCAGCAGGGTACCTGTGCACAAGGGTCTGGTTTCGGAACCAGTTCACAGTCACATTGTGGGCAACTCTCTTAGGGGACAGTACACAGGAGAGTGTGACATCTTCCCCCTGCTTGGCCTGAATGAGCTGAGCAGGGCCAGTCACTGAGAATGCTCCTTTCTGGCGTTCTAGGGACAGAGGAGAAGAAAATCAGAGGACAATGTAGGCCCAGCATTAAGAGTATTTGTTTGTGTGGTTGGGGGCCCCAGCAGATGAAGGTCTGACTTCTGGATCAGCTGCTGCTCTGCTGTGGGCCCACTTCTGGCAAATCACTTTCCTTCCTGTGATCCCCTTGGAGACAAGACATTCTCTCTCCTGACTGCTTCCTGTGGTCAGAAAGGGAGAGAAGCTTTTTGGATGCTGGAGGGTTGGGGGTGGGGACAGGAAGGCAACAAATGTCACCCATGGCCTCTAGGCAGGTCCTGTACTAGCCTCTGCTCTGCCACTGCCCATGGGTAACTTACAAGTGCAGAGGGAGCCCAGGCTCCTGGGCTGGTGTTTGCCTGGCCCTTATGTGATTATTGTCTGTGCAGCTGAGCTAGAAGGAGGGTGGGCCACAGAGCCAGGTGAGGGCTCCATGTGGGGGAGTGGTTCAGCTCCCTGGGGAGATGTGGAGTCTGGTCACCTGGATAGATGGATAGGTCTGTCTGGTGTCCCTCATCTGGATCTCACCTGGCTAGCATTGGCATGGGTCTTATCCACTCATTCTTGCCAAGGAGTTTTGATAGATGATGGCTTAATATGCCAGTTCCTGCCAGAAGTATCTAGACTTTAACAGGATCCTCCCAGAGTATAATGAACAGAGAATCTATGAGAGCTGAGAGACTTGGCTTCTGGACCTGGCTCGGCCATCATCCTCCTGTAGGCAAGTCCTTTCCTTTCCCTCACACCTCTTTACAATCCCCTTGGTCATTTTCCTCCCTAGTATGTTTCCACCTCTCCTGAGGCTCTGGATACCATCCTGTTGATTGGCATACCAACTTCTGTCCCTTTGAGCAAGAAGGACGAATGGTGATGGTGATGTGTGGGGATTTGAATCAAGGTCTGGGGAGGTGGGGGACCCTGGATTAATTGGATTTGCTTCCTTTTGTGCCCTTTTCCCCCATACTATTACACCTCCACAACTAAACCTGTCTGAACATCCAATTGTCTGTCTGTAAAATAGAGAGTATAATACTATCATGCCTGCATCACATTAGTAGTAGGAAGGAAATAATCATTTGTTAAGTGCCTACTATGTTTTAGTCACTGTACTATGGGCTTAATAATTCCTATCTCATTTAAGCCTAACAGCAGCCCTGGAAGATAGGTGCTATTATTATCTTGTTTTTTAAGTTGAGGAAATTGAGTCAGGCAGAGGTTAAATGATGTATCCAGGGTCACAAAGCTAGTAAGTATCTAAGGCTAGATTAGAGCTCAGGTTTATCATGACTCCAGACCCAGTGCTCTACCCACTGTCCCACCTCACTGCCTCTTTTACCTTTAGAAGTAGTAGTAGTCATCATCATCCTCATAAACCTAAAGGCATATTAAAAATAGTAGCTGGTGAACCTTACTCTCATCAGAATTGTCTCAAAGAGAGATTAACATATGCATTCAGTTGAGTATAGAAATCTCCCTTAACCCACAGGAAAGTTGGATGGGAAGGGCATGAGAGAAAGGGGTGTGGGGTATGCTGGTAGAAGGGAGGATGGATTTGGGGGTACAAGTCAGAAACAAAACACTCAAGCATTGACAGTGTGAAAAGAGCAAGAGCAGGATAAACGGGGGGAAATACACAGTAGTAATCATAAGCATGAAAAAAATTTAAAGCAAGTTTCTCTGATAAAGATCTCATTTCTCAAACATATAGAGAACTGAATTAAATGTATATATAAAAAAGCCATTACTCAATTGATAAATTGTCAAAGGATATGAATAGTCAGTTTTCAGACAAAGTAATCAAAGCTGTTTGCACTCTTATCAAAAAATGCTCTAAATTATTATTGATTGGAGAAATACAAATTAAAACAACTTTGAGGTACCACCCTACACCTATCAGATTGGCTAGTATGATGGGAAAAGAAAATGACAAATATTGCAGGGGATATGGGAAACTTGAGACACTGACGCATTGTTGGCAAAATTATATACTGATTCAACCATTCTGTGGAACAGTTTGGAACTATACCCAAAGGTCTATAAAACTATGCATACCCTTTGACCAATAATACCACTACTAAGTTTGTATCCAAGAGATTTTTATAAAAGGAAAAGATCTATTTGTACAAAAATA